ATTTAGTGAACTCCGAGAACTTATGGATAGCAGAACACCGTTGCGTGTTCACCAGCTGCATATTAACCCTGTGATTCTGCAATAAATGAGATATAAATAAGTGACTACTTCTTTTATTCAAGGATCTGAATCGGTGCTGATTTATGTGTGGTTGCCAGGACTAGTTCGAGCCACGAAAAGGCACAATCTGACTTTATGAACCCAAAAGGTTTCAGCCTCACGCGTATTTCCTTGCCTTTTACGGTTGCGAGAACACAGACATTGTAGACCCATCCTTTAACCACAGTGAAACGTTGCGACGGCGTCAAAAGTGCCTCAGGTTAACAAACGCCAACTTAGGCTTTGAAATATGAAAAGGATGCATTCTCTCTATCCGTGCGCTTGGTGGAGATGCTGCCGTCTAGACATACAATACTGTCCAATTATTTGGGCGTCATGTCACTGGTGGTGAGCGAAGAAAAGGGCACTCGCCAATCCGGTAACTGTACTTTACACTTGGAAAGAGCGAAGTGTGTACCATATTTAGACGTTTAGATCACCGGTCGGTCAGGGGCCAATTGTATACCAATAGCGCCGCCACTGAGCAAGGCGATATCCTCAGCGTACTCTAAGTCGGTTGCGCAAACGCCTGAAGCGGTTGGCTGCCAAAACGTTGCAGCCCTGTCTATGATTCAAAAAGGAAGTCTCTGATTGCAAAGTGAAAGCAAAACCGAGACAGGGCATCCTTGTCGCACACCGCTAGTGACAGCGACGACTGTCGATAGCTTGCCGTAGGCTCTCACGCTGCCTGAAGTGTGAAGTTGTAGTACCCAAACAATTTCCTCGTGGTGCCGGCTGGGCGGTTGGGGAATTCCCCGTGCCGGTGAAGGTTTCGAAGGCAGTGTTCCAGGATGTGCTGGGTTTTTGCCTGGCAAGTGTTCTCTCTATAAAAACCATAAATGTCCGTTTAACAACACTGCGACTTGGCGGATGTGACTCGCCACTGCCCCTTTTCTCCTTTGGAGACATTGCACACCTGCTAGCAATCTGGGCATCAGATCTTGTCTCAGACTTCGGGAGTGTTGGACCCCTGGCGGGGCTTATGGTCATCAGCATGGCGCATGAACTGTGCCCAGTCACCGGCTCCCAACGGGTGCGAATCCCTCATCTCGCCCTGATGCCTTGTGGGTTAGGCTCTTTGGCCAAACGCTCGGGGCGGTGCTCTCCTATGACAAACGACGTACCTCGGCCTAGGTAATCGGGTAGTATCTCGCCTACTGACGAACCATGGACTTACAACTAAGACTAGCACAAGCTCTCCAGCTGCTGTGATGCTATACACTCATGCTACTATGCCAACTTTACGAGCACACGCCACCATTTTACCTACCCTTCCCTTGTACCATACACAACCACGTTTATCTGGTTCCTCTACAACGATCAACCCCACCTCCACTGATGAAACTGTTCCCGTGACATCTGCCAACTCAACTAAAGAGTGCTCAACAGAGTGTTGGCAGTCCCAAAGTCTGCCTTCTTCGCTCCTGCAACCCGGAACGCAGTACAAACTTGCAATTTTCAACATACGCACCTTATTGCAAATCCGTCTTTCAAGATGGACTTGCAGGCACGCTCGAGACTCTTAGAACCGATATCTGCTGCCTGAGTGAAACAAGAACCCAGAATTCCAGCTCGATCTACAAACTGGAGTCACTGCCACACCCACACAACAGCTTCCATCTCCGCCTCTCTAGTAACACCGAGCCTGCCGCATCTGAAAAAGCTGGTGTTGGAATGGCCCTCAGTTTTAGAGCCGAAGTTGCTCTGATTGATTGAATTTCAATCAATAGTCGCCTTTGTGCGATGACGCTCCATGGGTCATGTAAAGTAATCAGACATCGAGTCGAATAGTGTGCTTTCTTCGCGATCTCTGCCTAAGCACCTACTGACTGTAGCTTGGACTAATGTCAAAGACCGGTTCTACCAGCACCTTCATGAGCTGCTCCTAAGTGCTCTTAACACATGTATCATTGTTTTGGCAGAGGACTTCAACGCGCGTATCGGTCGACTGCTGCCATGTGAGCGCCATCTCGGAGGAACGCATGGATATGTTGATGTTCACTCAGACAACGGAGAGAGACTGCTCAGTCTATGTGCTGCTTATCAGCTTTTCCACTCCAGCACGAGCTTCCATCAACCTGGACGCCAGTACACCCCTTGACGCCCCCACCATCAACCCAGCGCTGTTCATAGATGGACCACTTAGCCATAAGCCACAGTTGGCGCGGCAACGTACACGACTGCCGATTAGTTTGGTCAACATGTGTTGATACCGATTAATCAAAGGTATGTGCGAACAGTTGCATGCATTTTGGCGGCTCACCTAGGTTAACACACACCCGACTGAACACCTACAAGTTAGAGGACCTAATGGTGAAGAAGCAGTATCAACAACGGCTTCGTGAAAACTTCGCTCTCTCTCCCACTCTAGATGTTGGTCAACACTAGTCAGGTCTGCAGCAAGCCATACTGTCGGTCGCTTTGTCCAGCTGCAGTCTCGATCGCTTTACTCCCAATAGCTGGGATAGCTGGAATTGCTGGGTCGCCGACGGGCAGTACCTGCTGCCGCCAAGCACAACAGACACAGCCGGTCTAGTACGCAACAGCTGAAAGCAGGCCTTTGCTCTGACCGTGAATCCTGGTGGTCAAAACAAGCTGATTAGGTAGAAGCTGCAGCATCAGCTGGCAACTTACGCCGTATGTTTGACATCATCATGGCCACCGGTTGCAATTCCCACGCTATCAGCCGGATGATTTGCGAATCGGACGGCACAAAATCATCAACCTTTACAGGCGATTGGGTCGCTGGGCAGAGTATTTCGCTCTTCAATTCAACCACCCAACATAGCTTTCTGTAGAACCTCCAGCCCCAACCGATGATGCTTGGTCTGTCTCTCCTAACCCTCCAACAGAAGCAGAGATCCCAGATGCAATCTAACCTTTGAAACTCCACAAGGTTCCTGGTCCCGACAGCCTACCACCGGCTCTATGCAAAGATGACGGGAGTGTACTTGTCAGCAAAATCTAATCGCTGTTCACGAATGGCTGGATTTAGGGGAGGGTTCCAAACTCTTGGACAGAATCGGTCATCGTTCCGATTCACATGAAAGGCTCCCGCGAAGATTGCTGTAACTAAGGCAGAATCTCGTTGATCGCTGTCGTGTCCAAAATCCTCGTGTTGGCCCTATTTCGCATGCTTTCAACGACTAGAGAGTAATGTTTTCATCCCAGATGCTCAAAAGCTACAAGGCACAGCCTAGTTCGGAAAAGCACCAAACGCGTTTTGCCTTATTAGAGCTCATCAGTAGTGCGCATTTCCACGGTTTCCTACTGAGAATCGAACCAATGACCGGTAGAGCCAGATGCCAACTAGCCAGCAGCTTAGGCCACTGAGCTATGAGTGATGTCGGCTGGGCTACACAATTTGCAAGCTAACTGGGATGTAGTACGACCTATCTTCCACTGCCACGCAGGTTACTACCTTAGCAGATGAGAGTGGCGAGCCTACGAAGGTCATGACTTGCGCTCACTAGAAGTTACGTCCATGGCATTTGAATCTAGGAGAGGTTACATTTTATATTACTAATTATTACGATGACTAGTGATTAGTCCTCCCGAAAAGAACAAGCCGGGTTTCGTTCGGTCCGCGGCTGTACCGACCAAATCATCATCATCCGCCCACTTCTCGAACTCCGTCAAATCCACCGGCGGCCAACAATCGTAGTGTTCTTGGACATCCGAGCGGCATTTGATTCATTATATGGATCAGCTCTGTGGAACTCTTTATTAAGAAAGGTGTGCCCGACAAGTTTGTAACCAAACTGAAAAACTTTACGGTCACACGTCTGGCAAAGGCGAGGCCTACGGTACTCTCACACCTTCGTTCGCTGCGGATTGCGATGTTCGCCAAGGTTGCCCCATTTCACCTTTTCACCAATTTTGCTATCAGATGTCGTCCAAGGAGTACTGGAATGTCTCCAGAACTGTGGTATTGAGCTCGTCTCTGGAGACAGAGTCCCGGACTTGGACTACGCCGATGATGTCGCTTTGCTGGGGGACGACCCACAAACCGTCCAGAGCGCCTTGGAACGCTTAGCCATGGAGGCTTCTAATACGGCGTGTATTTCACTCCGAGGAAATGTAAGAAGCTGCTCCAGAATTGGCAGTGCCTGAACCCGCGCTCATCATTGCGGGACATGTCCTGGAGCAAGTCCCTTGCTTTACTTATCTATGGAGTTGCATCACGGCTGGTGCCGGTGTTGGAGTTGAAGTCACACAAAAGATTGCAAAGACCCGCCTTGAATTCATCAAACGAAGAGACCTATGGCGTCGCCATCATGTCAGTCGCAAGCTCATAGTAGGGTATGCAAGGCTTTGTCCGTGCAGTACTCTTGTACGACTGTGCGACTTGGCCTATTCGCTCAGATGACATGAAGCCGCTGTCAGTATTCGATCACTGCCTACAAAGCATTGCTCTGGGCTGGTGATAACACAACGTAATCAACGCAGATGTCCAGGATCGAGTGCTTGGTGCGAGTAGCACCAGTTTTCAGAATGTTCTTCTCCAATATCACATGCCTTGGCTCGGGCACCTGCTGCGTATGCCAGCCCATGGCCTTTCACGTCGGGCTCCAATTGCTCTCACAAGGAGCGATTGAAAAGAGTGCCGCGGTGGACCACCAATGACGGGGAAAAAAGAATAAAGAAGGTAACCACAAGGTTGGCGGCAGTCGGACCGGTCTGTCTTCCGGGTTGGGGACCATGCGATGTTGAATCTCAGTTGTTGAAAACATTGGTTGGCATGATACGCAACAGACCTCAATAGTGTAAATGTTGTTCTGCCATCGTATCCCCCTTTAATGCACACAAAATATTAACGAAAAAACCAAAAAGCAACTAGAAAGGTTGTGCGTAAAACAAAACATTCGTTTTCCATATTTTTATCGCGTTTTGTGTTTCTATTTGCTCAATTTTTTACTTCTGACATAGTTCCAGTGGCATAATGTCCGTTAACAGAATGTAAAGATATATATATATACCCGAGTTAAAGCAAATTAGTCCTCGGGAACTGAATTCCTTCCTTGGCCTTGCTATAAAGCAGGCGGATCTACTGGGTTGTATGTAGGTCCAGGAAATCGACGTCGGGGGGTTCGGAAGTCGAAATGACGACGTTTGAGAAGCTGAATTGTGTGTATTTGATCCACAAATACCCGATCGCGGCCAAAACATGCCTGCTCTTCCGCGTAGTTTGTTCTACGCGTTTGCGCCAGTTTCCGGAGCATGCTGGATCTTAGTATGTTGGAAGCAACCAATATCACTGGAATGCATTGTTCCTTGGAGTTTACTGCAGTGGTAAAAAGCAGAAAGGGTAATCTGTGTCAGCCTTATCCCTTCCCGTTCAGAGCAGTGATAGCTCGGATCTTATAATACGTCTTTCCACAAGGTATCATCAAGAAGACATAAGAAACAACGTGATATCTGTTTGCTAAACCGGTAGGAGTCCAACAGACGCTTGAAACCTCCTCGTTCGGTGCATTGGCGACTGGATACGTTTCATTTTCCAGTCTTTCACCATACGGGCAAGCAAAGTGATGTCATAATGGAATTGGAGCCACCTTAGCTGAAACAGTTTTCAATAGTGACCCAATGTCAAACTATCGATAGGAGATGAAAGAACTTGTTTAGTTCACATCCCATCATCCCACGTACGTCTGTGCGTCTGTTGTAAATCAGGCCACCACAAAGACGACGGGAATCCAAGGAGAACATGTGCATCGTTCTAAATCGCTGAGAGTAGCGCAAATTCCGGACCGTTAATATGGATTTTTATCCGCGCCATTGAATCCACTCTATCTGAACGTGTTTGGACTTTGTAAGGGCAAAACCGTAGGTGCATGGTATTCAAGAATAGGACGCCCGTCGTAAATAAAATGGATTCTGAAGATCACTGGAGTCATTTTAGAAAGAATATCTCCTCATTGCACAGGAAATCCTGTTAGTAACCGGTAAATTCCTCAAGATGTCTTGCCATGTGTCCAAGTAAGGAGATACAAGTACGCAAAGGTTCTTCTCACAGGCCGTAATCCTGAGCTAGAAAACTCAATGTTGTAGGCAGTAAACAGCTACAAAGCACCGATTAGATGGACAGAGCACTTTTCATAATTGATAGGCAATCGCCACCTCAAGGAGCAGCTGTGCAGCCGGTGCAGTGTCGCATTCAATATGTCAACATTTTCGAGTTTGCACATCTATAGCCATAGCTACAAATCGTCAACATATGGCAAGCAATTTCTTCTGAGATCTGGTGGAAGATCATTAATGAATAGTTTAAACAGCTCAAAATCAAGGACGGTGCCCTGCGAAACTTCACTAATCATAAGAGAAGGCCCCATAAGGTTTCAGTTACCTTCACTAGCATACAAATGCCATACAGGAAATCAACGATGCAATAGAAAATTCTCAGAAAAGCCAATTTTCCAAAGTTTAAGAAGAACCCGTTCGTGCGGTCCTCCATCAGATACGTTCCCAAACTAGACAAAGACAACTTCCAGAGGAGTGCCTGCATACAACGATTTAGCCAATTTTTCTGAGGAAAAGCAGCTTGGTGGCACATGAGCTTGCACTCCAGAAGCCCTGCAGGGCAACAGAGATGATATTCAGATTATCTAGCTTGCGACGTAATGCACACACAAGGATTCTCTCCATGACTTTACACTATGGATGTAAAAACGAACCGATCCATGGTTTCCAGGGTCCTGACGGTTTCCACTTTGGTATGAAGATTTACCGAGGCCAACTTTCAGGCAAGGGTGGGGCGCTCTGCACCCACAGATCGCAAAAAACATAAGTATGTGCAACGAAGTACTTAGCCACTGTTTTTAAAAATGGAGGGTTCGGTCCATTAGGACCAGGATAGGAGATTGCATTTAAATCTAGGAGTGGTTTAGTAATTGTATACCTACCGCTTTGTAAGTGAGCTAGAACAAGAGAGGCTCAGTAATCAGCTTACTGGTCAAGGGTGCTTAAGTCAAAAATCCAGAACAATACTAGGAGGCCTAATGTCCAGCCTTTGCGTCATCTGCAGGCTGCATGAAATCAATTCCGCGGCAAAACAGTGTAGGTATTCCATTCCTAACTTAGGCATGACGCTTTAGAGCGGAGGATAGTAGGTCGTAAATGGTTACCGATTCCTCGGCCAAATGATGTTTACACTACTGTCATCTCTCCCGATTCCTAAAGGTTCAGATTTTCCTGCTGGTTTTATACCTTGGTAATCTATCATTGACGGGGTAGTTTTAAACTTGCCGCACCATTTGCCTTCTTGATGCATAAATGAATTAAATGCATGCTTAATCCAAGGTGGGCGTTTGGATAACTGTTTAGTTCTAGAGAGTGGGAGGACCTGATTAATGATTGACATACATTTTGGTACTAAAGGCTCCAGACATTATCTGGATCCAAGTGCTGGGTGCTGCTTTAATCCGTGGTGCCAGCGGCACATTTCAATTAAAGTGTATCGAGTCGACAGAAATTTCGATGATGCATCATTAGGTCATGGATGTCAAGTAGTTACATCCAGCAAAATGTACCTACCTGTTACTCGCTTCTACCCAGCAGCTGGAAAATAGTCAGGTTGGAAACATCAGCCAGTAAATGTATGAGCAAGCATGTGTAGTAGCTGACTCGCAATAATCTGGTGGGCTCTGTAACATGTTGGAATACAAAACAGGCATGGACGGTTTCGAAGCAAGCGGCGCCAAGATAAGTTGGAGAAGGAAGATAATGGAGTAAGTCACAATTGGTACTAGCGATCTTAAAGGCTTCTAGTTTCTCAGAATTGCTGTCACCATCCTGCTTCTTAATAGACTCTAGCAAGCTGCCTCCGGTACCCAAAGTGACTCTGTAAACGACTCCATCCATAAGGGACCGGTATCCATTATTAATCCGACTACAAAGTGTTCGGACCCGCTGTAATTGTCACAGTTTGTTTTCCCAGATGACACCTAAGATCATAGGCTTAATATAAATCATACTAGCACCATATTACGCTTCATAGCGATCCAGTTTAGAATAAGTATACCTTGGAATATACACTTTAGAGTTAAGGATGTCCGATGATAACCAGTTCTCTGTAAGGGTCATTAGATCTATCCATGATTAGATCATGAAGTAAATAAATGCATGAATAAATTGTAGATTTCTTGATATTGCATGACGAAAAACAACTACGTGATCTGTACATACGGTATAACGTAAGCAGATAGCAGTGAATGTTTTTCGAGCTCTGCAGATAGTTCTCAGAAATGCTTACGGGTGTTCTATCGATTAGAATTAGTAAAATGACTGAAAGTAAAACTTGGGAACAAATGTAGTTATAGAGAGCAGTTCATGCAAAGTAATATAACCATCGTATTTCTAAAATCTGGGGTGATTACTGGCTTTTCTCAAGAGGAGGGTACCGTTTCTTCTGTCGTATCATCAAGCATATAGATGTTAGCTGAGTGACAACAGCCATGTCACCGTACTTGAGCATTTCTGGTAGACCTTCGTCTAAGCCTTCAGCCTTAAAGTGCTTCAGGTGTATGGTATGAAGAAATAGCTCTGCTTTAGTGGGTGATTCCAGTGACACCGCCGATAAATTGCAACTTGGTGTGCTGGGTCCAAAGGTGGACTGCGAAATGCAACTGAATTACGGTAGTAAATTTTCAACGCACTTGTCCATAACTTCCTGCAAGTCAAGCAGTTTGCAATCCACCCGCCTCAAGATCGACTATGTTAATATCAAACCTTTCTTGCCCAGTTTTTTACATGAGTTAGAACAACCTGCAACTATTTCCAATGACAGCTGCGGCGTCTGTATCTAAAACACGTTAGTATCACTGCACTTCCCGATCTCCATGAATGTTTTGTTTGAGCAGTCTGCTGACAATGCGGAACATTTTGTTGTCGTCTGAGTTAGCTGAGAATGTTTGCAAGGGTCAAAAATGCCAGAGAGCGCGCCGTATTCCAACAACTTGAGTGAGCAAAAATTTGAATAATGCCGTAAGAAGACGAACAATGGCAGTTGTCAACCTTTCGTATTGTTTCTTCAGTGCCAACACAATTATCTGAAATATATAGGACGATAGGTATGATGGGACCAGAACAAGTTAGAACAAGGTAAGTGGCAAACGTGACACCCTTACGCCCAGGGTAGCCGTAAGCTTACGAACAACTGTTTCTGCGCACAGTGTGCGGGTTTGATACGAATGATCGCGACTGCCTGTGCGAAATATAGGAGATGGGCGTTAGTATGTCTTAACGCGATTGTAAACAATTGGCTGGATCAAACTGATGACAGGTGGCCAGTGAATGCCTTTCTATGGATGAAGAATGTGGCTTATGTGAACTGATGGTATGATCAACCGACCACTTTGCCAATATGAGGACAACGAAGCGCATAATTTCTGCAATCTAGAAGACCTATTATCCTGCTGAAACTGTTTTTGGCAAATGGTCTAATCAAATACCTGTTACCCCAATGACGGTAAGACAATCTGTTGGCGCCAACACACATTGTATTTACCAAATTACTTGTAGCCGTGAAATACGCTAAATCCGCCGTACCAGTAGCTCGTTGAACTCCGAAATAAAGGAACATGTACCTAAATGGTTGCACCGTCAAGTCACACCATCGTCGGTTGGTCATACCATCAGCTCACGTAAGCCACCTTCTTCATCCATAGAAAGGCATTCACTGGCCACCTGTCATCAGTTTGATCCAGCCAATTGTTTACAATCGCGTTAAGACATGCTAACGCCCATCTCCTATATTTTGCACAGGCAGTCGCGATCATTCGTATCAAACCCACACATTGTGCGCAGAAACAGCTGTTCGTAAGCCTACGGCTGACCTGGGCGTAGGGGTGTCACGCTTGCCCCTTACCCTGTTCCGACTTGTTCCGGTCTCATCCAACTTGTCGTCTTACATCTTTTCAGATAATTGGGTTGGCACTAAAGAAACAATACGAGATGTTGACATCTGCTAGTGTTCATCTTCTTACGGCTTTATTCAGAGTACCAAAGGGAACTAATTGTTTCAAGGGTCAAAACTGATCAACGGACCAATTGGAAGGATTTTTAGCATTGCGTGTTTTACGATACACCAATTGTGTTTAATATTAGGATGTGAATTACAGGCTACCTTGGTCATGAGCGCAGCCGTCAGATCGGCTGAGCCGAATGACTAGTTAGACTGTTTCTAAGGAGTTTAATATGCTACCGTTTTGAGAACCTTCCGAATTGCGCGCAGATTTCGGCAAAAACCAGCATATTATCTGTATCTAGGTAAGTGTTACAAAATGAGCTAGTCTTGTGTGCTACCATCTCTATTGAAGCGGATTGCAGTGTGAATTCTTTAGGACAAAAATCTCGGTTTTTAAGAGGGACCCCAGGTGGCACAGCGCCTCTTTGAATGCTTGAAGCTGGTGCTTGCGAGACCTAGACTGTTGTATTCACACAACGTGAGAAGCCTGGTTTCCCTATCTGAGCAACTTTTAGTAGTGTATGATGACCATCACATTAAAATGTACTTTGTGACAGGTGACCAACCCGTGCGCGGAATTCCGCTGCGAGCATAACGACGTCAGATGTGGCAGCTTTAAGTAACAGTAAATAAAAAACTGGTGCTACAACTCGCCCTGGGTTGCTTCACTTCGAAACTAAATTGGCACATTAGCACAAAACATAACAACTTTGCGCATTTCGCCGCGATGTCTGTTGACTCTCGATGGAACTTGAAGCCGAAATGCTCATAGTAACCTGTTAATCGAAAACCAAGCCAGGATTGCGGCCACAAAGTTGCCGTTTAGTACCACACCAACGCCAGCTAAATCAGCTGCTACCGTCGCGTCCCCAGAAAAAATAAGCTTGTCTGTGGCTTTGTGGTTACTCAAATAAATCAGTTAAAACATGGCGTCTTGGTCTCCCAACCGCGTTCCAGAAACGCGTTAAATATCAACAGCAATGGAGTCCAGAGTATTAACTAAACCCGCTTGTTGATCAGACGATCAAACATTAAATGTTTCCAGCCAAAACAAACGGCCTGGGTTGATAGATAGTCTTAAACCACACGTTCTGGGTATCCACATCATAAACAGCTCGAGGAAGAGGATTTTATTAATTCTACAATGAAATCGCTGGCAGGTACGCACCCAATAGGTGTGGACAGTGCAGAAGGTAATCTGATATAAAGTGAAATCTAAACGCGAGTTGATCACGGCAACATGAGCGTCAAGGTCAAGGCAAACGGCTTACTGTGCTTAGTACCATGCATTGAGCGATATTTCTCGAAGCACTTCCAAATGACGTTGTTTACATTGTCCAGCAACCAAGCTGCGCATGTAGTAGGTTATCAATGAAAGAAGTTATATCACAACCCAGGTTAGTGAATTTGCCATAGGATGTCACGGAGCTACAGCTTTACACATAAGTGAAAGATAGCTAATTGTAATCACCTAATGCCGAAACCTTGTTGGCACCATAATGCCTTTCGTTTAAACCAAAGCATGTGGACAGACTTCGTGCACTTGAAGTGGGACAAGTTGAGCAGGATTAATATTGCTGCGGATGCACTGAGATAATATAAATCATTCATAGAGAAGCAAAGGATGGCAATTAACATAAGCACGATTGTTAACTTATCAGGCACCCGTGCAACGTGCATATAATTCTGCTTCAACAAATTAACATAACATATATGGTTAGACGGTGCTGTAATGAAACAGGGAGCGGAACTAGGACCTTGATTATTGAAAACGTGCAACAAGGTGGGTTGTACCATTTTCGTATGGTAGAATGCAACAGTCAGTTAATATATTAGAATAAATATTAATGTTTAGCTGATGTCTCAATTGCCGTGGCACATTTCTCCATCTTATCCAGAAGCTAAATCCTACTGAGGCCGCTTTGATAGATACCACTCACCCAAATCTTCTGCTACGTGTCCCACCTACTCGTTGCTCTAGATATCGCACCATAGCTGCTCCTTGCCTATGGACTGCATGGATGCTGTTGTCTGCTCCGTTTTTAACTAGGGCTACGAGCATTTCTGCGAGTTACAAACCGACCAGTTTGACAGGCGTACTGGTCACCTTTTTGGAGAAGTTGTCTGGGATGTGATTGAAAACCACCTGCGGACTTGAGGACTCCTCAGTTTACTTCAACACGGTTGCTGCAAGGGTCACTTGCATTACCATTTTTCAATTTGCCCGCATATGTCAAGCGAATAGTTTGGATTGTCGCCACGCAGTAGCCGTACTGTTTATTGACTGTCAAATCGATCGACACCGTACCATATTCAGCTCTCCTTGCTTCTGCTGTTCCAGGGCAACTCAGGGCGTGCTCCACATCTCTTAAAGGAAGTAAACTATGTAGTTGGGTTGGAGGTAGTCTGCCTTTTTCTTACTTAGTCGTTAAAGTGGTTACACAGTGGTCACCGCTTTGCCCATTTTTGTGTCCTTTGTAAGTAAAGGAGCTGCTCGAGCTACTGTTAGTACCATCTTGCATGTTTGCAGACGACTTGACGTTTAGGCCCCAGTGTCTGACTTAGACAAACAATAGACGCTACAACGGCCTCCTGATACAATCTGATACTATGATGTTTTGTGACAGATGTTCATAAAGTACATCAAGTACTCAGTTTTATGGTTAAGGCGAAATTACCACCAAACTGCGTTAACTGTGTTAAACGCTCAGTTAGGGTTCATGTTGTTGTCAGAATTTAAGTCCGGCAAAATTTTGATGAAGGCTAGGCACAAAGATTGCAGAATGTTGGGGATGACCCGCATGGTATTAGGAATCATCACAAGAGATATGTTTATTAGATTATTCTCAGCCTTCTTTAGACCATATTTGGAATACTGAATCCAGGCTTGTCCACCGCGCTCAGCTAGGAATAGTTTGTCCGTGGAAAGAGTGTTAGGTGCTAGAACCAAAATGGTTCATGTGCCACGGAACGTTTCGTATCCAAAAGGATTCCCAAAGCTAGGAATATTTTCAATAGATTATTGGCACCGCTGTATCTACTTGATTTTTACTTATTGCTATGTTAGTAAAAAGCGGGCCTGATTTAGTTTGAGTTTCCCAAACAGCTCGGCTTCCGCCTCTACGAAGCCACTCGATTAGGTTACACATGCCTAAATCTGATGACGCCCGGACAGACTTTCCTTTATGATGCAGGGTAGTAAGTTGCTGGAACGTGCTGCCCAATAACCTGGTGTTGTCCCCAACAGTGAACACATGCGAACAGCAAATTAATGCACTTGAAATTTGATTTCAAACGTTTCCCCTCACAGTGTAGCCTATGTACCTTATTGCATTGTTATAGCTTTATTTCTTTTGCTTCTTAACGCATGCGTTACACTTCTACGCCTGTTTCTTATGCAAATTGACAGCTGTGGTAGGAACTGCTAAAGTAGATCATATGGGTATTAATAGTTGGTCGTGGTGTCATTCACGCGTACCGCGCTGCTTTTCCGAGTTTAAAGTTAGAACAAAAGGATAATAACTTGGAGCAGCAAATCGCCTTCGATAATACATCCAAAGAAAGGTAATTTACTGTACTAGTGCTAGCTGAAGCTAAACCCGTAAAAATTGGGTGCTAGGAAGAGCAAATTAACTTCGAATACAGAGAAAAGCAATCCGCTACGTTTGTGAATATTTATACAGCCTAGCCTAAATAAATATAAGTTTTGGGGTAAAATGATCTGAAGATGCATCAGCAGCATCATTATACACGTCAGCTAGAGATGGGAAACACCTCAACTATTGTGTCGCAATACATAATGGAAAAGGAAAATAAATACAACAGTTGTATGCTAGCTGAGCTGCCAGCAATGGACGAGCATCGTTCCGGTAAGCTACCAGCAGTCTACTAGGTAAGAGAAAAATAATTATGTTTTATGCTACGAAATAAGATCATAGGTGGAGTGAGAGGCTAAAAGGGATGGGGAGGGACAAGGAAACTCACAGCTGGTCCGCTCCTTGCCATGTATCCAGCCAAATGTGTTCACCGTCTTTCGAACCACAACCAGAGAGTCGAAAGGCAGCAAGTAAGGCCAGCTTCG